GGTGGGGCCCATCCACAGAAGCACCCCAGTGAACAAAATTTTCATGGTGTTTATGGACAATCGTGTTTTTACGAGTATGTTGAATGGGCATCCCGTTGGAACATGACTCATTATTTTTCGTCAGCATAAAAATCGGCCTAAATAGCTTTAGGCGTGTTCTACGGGGGCGGGGGGAACACTCAAGAAGGTCTACTGATGAGAGTTGACTGTGCTCGTAGTTTAATGTCCCGCACGCGTCGTCTTTATTTGCCGCATTTTGTGGTACTAAAGAGGGAGGATGTCTCGAGACTGCAATGTGATCTGCTTTTAATCGTCCTGATTAAAGAATCCAGGCTGCGACATCAAGCAGCCATTTGTTGCTAATTAAAACGTCAATTTGACCCATTTGCCCAGATGGATGACTTTCAATGTGTCGGCTTCTCTTTGTGCGCTTTGCTCAAGTCGCCGCCGCCTTTTGTCTCACTCCGATGACAAGGTTACTTTATTAGGTACGCAAGCGAACGACACCCGATGCCCAAAATAAAGCTGCAAGAAGCAAACAATCACGTCTTGGCGCCCCAAACTTTTTCATGGTGAATCCTCAATATGATCGGCAAGCGTTGACGCCGTGCTCCGCCCGTTTTAGATGCATCCTGTCCCAATAGACATATTCACCAAACTTTGTGTCGGGGACTAATTTTTTCAAACTTTCCAAGGGGCGTGAGTTTTGGTTTTCATGTTGGGGTCCTCTTAAATATCTCTATTTTTAATTCCCCCATGATACAAGCGCTTCCGAAAATTGGTGAGCATTTCGGCATGTTGAAGGGGTTAAAACAACAACAACAACAAAACTAAAACTAACTCTAAAATTACAAAAATAAAACCTGAAAATTACAATTAGCTGAATTTAAAAAAAAAACACACAGAATCAAAAATAAATACAAATTATGATAACCCTGGTCTGTGTCCGTTCACTCTCGACCAGGACGAGGAGGGCATCCGGCGAGCCATCTGGGAGAAAAACGCGCTGATGATCGAGGCACACAACCAGGAGGCGGCGCTGGGCCTGCACTCGTACGAACTAGGCATGAACCACCTGGGAGACATGGTGAGGAAATATGGCAACAAGTGAACCGACGCCGTCATCGACACGATCAAAGCTGAAAAGATGTGAGAATTTGGTGTGGTCGCAGACGTCGGAGGAAGTGGCGGAGAAGATGATGGGCTTGGAGATGCCCATGACGCGGGAACGGGGCTTCACCATGAGTCCCGAGCAGCAGGCCTACCCGCTGCCCAAGTCGGTGGACTACCGCAAGATGGGCATGGTGACGCCTGTCAAAGACCAGGTGTGTCATCTTGTGATGTCACCTACATGCACGATAACGTGAACTGAAGTATTAGATTGAACTGCAAAAAGAGTATCAAGTCCACAGTTTCAAGAACATTGAAATGGATTTTCAGAATAATGAGGACAATTCAAAGCGGTTAAACTTTGCCATCAAGTGGAGAAACAGAAGAATGCACCTTCAACAGACTGAATTAACGACACGTTTGACTGGATTTTTTTCCGATAATATCTTGAATTCATCGCATTTTTAATGATACATACTACTATTCGATCCCTAGAGATAAAAAATTAATTTGGCGATCATGTAAAAACTGAATTTGCAACAGCCCACAAGCTTTCCTTACTCAAAACCAGTAAAGGTTTTTTTAAAGGGATGAAATGCTGCTATCTAGTGGACAGAGAGAAGAATGCATCTTCATCCGAACAAATCCGCGTTACACCGGAGTGTAGTAACAAAGAAATAAGTCAAGAAACGAATTAATAAGGATAATACGAAGCGACGTTTGTGTGGTTGTTTTGTTCCTCAGGGTTCATGCGGCTCGTGCTGGGCCTTCAGCTCGGCGGGGGCCCTGGAAGGTCAGCTGGCCAAGACCACGGGTGAGCTGAGAGACCTCAGTCCTCAGAACCTGGTCTGCTGTTCGCAAATGAAAATAAAAATGTAGACTCTGAAATATACTTAAATAAAGAAAAAAAATATTCAATGATGTAAAAGTTACACAATGCTTGTTCTAAAATAAAAATAAAAAATCACCTTACCTGTAGCATTATTTTAAATAGAAAGCAATCAGCAACTCCAACCTACAGAAGGTTAAAAATACAAAAACACACAACCGAATCATAAAATGCAAAATGTGGTCATGTGAAAATCTGATGCAGTGAGCGTGTGTGTTTGTGCTTGAGCAGGATGTGGCGGCGTTGCCTTGGCGTGTTTCTTCTGGCGGTGTCGGCGCTGGCCCGCCTGGATCAGGTGACCCTGGACAGCCAATGGGAACAGTGGAAGATCACGCACGGTCGGGAATACAACGGCCTGGTCAGTGTGTGTTTTTAATCATGATTTTGAAGACTTGCTCTGCGAATAGCTGCCAGTGTTCCACTTTCAAACTTCAAGCCTCACAAAGTGGAGGAAATTCCTGGACTTGCCAGGGCCGCGCAGAGGGGCAGGGCGAAGGGACCAACGGGGGGGGGAAAAAACATCCACAGAAGCACCCCAGTGAACAAAATTTTCATGGTGTTTATGGACAATCGTGTTTTTACGAGTATGTTGAATGGGCATCCCGTTGGAACATGACTCATTATTTTTCGTCAGCATAAAAATCGGCCTAAATAGCTTTAGGCGTGTTCTACGGGGGCGGGGGGAACACTCAAGAAGGTCTACTGATGAGAGTTGACTGTGCTCGTAGTTTAATGTCCCGCACGCGTCGTCTTTATTTGCCGCATTTTGTGGTACTAAAGAGGGAGGATGTCTCGAGACTGCAATGTGATCTGCTTTTAATCGTCCTGATTAAAGAATCCAGGCTGCGACATCAAGCAGCCATTTGTTGCTAATTAAAACGTCAATTTGACCCATTTGCCCAGATGGATGACTTTCAATGTGTCGGCTTCTCTTTGTGCGCTTTGCTCAAGTCGCCGCCGCCGTTTGTCTCACTCCGATGACAAGGTTACTTTATTAGGTACGCAAGCGAACGACACCCGATGCCCAAAATAAAGCTGCAAGAAGCAAACAATCACGTCTTGGCGCCCCAAACTTTTTCATGGTGAATCCTCAATATGATCGGCAAGCGTTGACGCCGTGCTCCGCCCGTTTTAGATGCATCCTGTCCCAATAGACATATTCACCAAACTTTGTGTCGGGGACTAATTTTTTCAAACTTTCCAAGGGGCGACAGAGTGAGTTTTGGTTTTCATGTTGGGGTCCTCTTAAATATCTCTATTTTTAATTCCCCCATGATACAAGCGCTTCCGAAAATTGGTGAGCATTTCGGCATGTTGAAGGGGTTAAAACAACAACAACAACAAAACTAAAACTAACTCTAAAATTACAAAAATAAAACCTGAAAATTACAATTAGCTGAATTTAAAAAAAAAACACACAGAATCAAAAATAAATACAAATTATGATAACCCTGGTCTGTGTCCGTTCACTCTCGACCAGGACGAGGAGGGCATCCGGCGAGCCATCTGGGAGAAAAACGCGCTGATGATCGAGGCACACAACCAGGAGGCGGCGCTGGGCCTGCACTCGTACGAACTAGGCATGAACCACCTGGGAGACATGGTGAGGAAATATGGCAACAAGTGAACCGACGCCGTCATCGACACGATCAAAGCTGAAAAGATGTGAGAATTTGGTGTGGTCGCAGACGTCGGAGGAAGTGGCGGAGAAGATGATGGGCTTGGAGATGCCCATGACGCGGGAACGGGGCTTCACCATGAGTCCCGAGCAGCAGGCCTACCCGCTGCCCAAGTCGGTGGACTACCGCAAGATGGGCATGGTGACGCCTGTCAAAGACCAGGTGTGTCATCTTGTGATGTCACCTACATGCACAATAACGTGAACTGACTGTTTGTATTATAATCAAGTATTAGAATGAACTGCAAAAAGAGTATCGAGTCCACAGTTTCAAGAACATTGAAATGGATTTTCAGAAC